TTTTTTTTTTTTTTAAGTATGTCATAACCTCTATACCCGGGATTTAACACCATTTACAATCAACCTTGCTCTACCTACCTGCCATAAATTTTCTATCAGGGAGAAATACTTGCATCTTAATACCACATGCCATTATTGTCTTTCTGCTCTTCTTAAATGCTTTCTTCTTTTTTTTTTTTTTTTTTGAGACAGAGTCTCACTATGTTGCCCACAGGGGTAGAGTGTTGTGGCATCACAGCTCACAGCAATCTCAAATTCTTGGGCTTAAGTGATTCTCCTGCCTCAGCCTTCCAGGTAGCTGGGACTACAAGTGCCCGCCACAACACCTGGCTATATTCTTGTTGCAGTTGTCATTGTTTAGCAGGCTCAGGCTGGATTCAAATCCACAAGCCTCTCCCCCCCCCATGTATGTGACTGGTGCCTTAACCACTGAGCTACAGGCACTGAGCCCTGACTGGGTAATTTCAAATAATTTTTCTTTGAGTTTACTTACGGTTTACTTCTCCTTCTCTAGTCTATTGTTGAACTCTTCTGTTGAATTTTTTTCACTTCAGTTACAATATTCTTCAGCTTTAAGATTTCTGTTTTTTTTCTTTTTTGAATTTTCTTTATTGAAATTTTCATTTTGTTTATGGGTTGTTCTTCTGAGTTCATTGAACTTTTCCATGATGGTTATTTTGAATTTTCTGTCAGGTAATTCATATATTTCCATTTCATTCGTGTTGGTTTCTGGAATTTTGGCTTGTTCTTTTGTTTGTATTGTACTTTTTTTACCCCCATTTTCTTTGACTCTTTGTATTTATATTTGTACATTAGAAAAAAATTGCCACCTCTCCCAGTTTTGTGGATTGCCTTTGTACAGAAGACTTTCACCACTTAACCAGACCAGAGCTTCTAGGAACCTCTCAAACTATTGGGCTAGTCTCAACTGATATCTTGTTCTTAGTGGCCCCCACATGTCCAGAGTATGTCCAGTCCCATCAATGCTCCTAGACAGGTGGCACAAAAGCCATTCCCTCAGTAGCTCTTAGAGAAGTTGGATTGCTAGGTACATGGTTCAACTCTTTCCTTCCCCATGGAGAAGCTGAGACTTGGCAATTTTTACCCACTCATTCCATGTTGAGCAAGGAACGGGAGTTGTGGTACATTTCTGCATACTACCTCAAACTGCCACTTCTCTGGTAGCCCCAAGGATACTATAATATGCCAGACCATACCCCTTCAGCCCTCTGAAGCAGGCAATAAAGAACTCAGTCCTTAGGTAGCACCCAAATAAGTTGGGGGTATTAAATATTACAGGTACATCTTCTTCTGTTTTTAGGTAGAAGCTGGGACTGGGGGTTCCTTCACAATCCTATGGCACACTGTGCTGGGGTTGGGGATTATGAGTGGGTGCTTCTTCTTTACCTACAGTTTCAATGTGGCTGGTTTCACACTCACCCAGGGTGCAGAAACCTGTCAATTAGTTTCTAGATTTCTTACAAAGGAAATTGATCCTTGTGTTGCAGTTGAGTCACTGTGTCCATGGAGGGAAAGTAAGTCTAAGCTTCCTGTTCTGCCATCTTGCTAATGTCTCTCCTCCCTCTTATTATTTCATAAAACTAGATGTGTATCTATAATCAACTTAAACATTCAGTTTGGTTTTTAAATATTACCTCAGGTCTGTGCAAATCTACAGATCCTTGAACAAAGATCTTTCTGCTGGGAACTTTATTCTTTAATTATGACTAGATTCAATATTACTAAATTACATTATTTTTGAGACTTCCTACCTACTGGGCTAATATTTTCTTAGCACAAGGAAAACATTGGTAATTGATTCCTCCAGCTAAACGAATGCACTTTTTTTTTTTCTTTTTGTCTATTTAAGGTTCTGGTGCAGAATGCATAATTGCTTTGACAAAAGGCAGCAACCCAAGCAGAGTGTGGTAGAGAATCTCCTGGAAATTAAGAAACAGGGAGCAATGCTGGAGGCAGATGTGCATGAACTAAAAAAGGTGAGGAGAAAAGTTCTAAAAAGAGGTCTTCTTGTTCCTTCTGAGTAAGCCCAGCTAGCTTGAAGTTCTGTTGTACTTGTGGAAATCTGCCTGGCTGACTTTGTTATTCTGTTTGACTTCCAATTGTCTTGTGTCTAAAAAGCTTCAGGCACAACTCCTTTACTTACTTCTAAAATGTAGTAAACATCTCATTCATCTAGTTAAACAAATGGGTTAGTTTTCTTTATCCCTTTTTTGGTCTGAGTGGAATTATTAGGAGGAACAAAAGGGAAAGACAGGGAAATCAAGCAGGCATTTGTTATCTAGCAAGAGAATAAGTATAATATCGTGGATGTACTGATAAGAACAACAAAACTGCTGTATTTCCAATTAGGAAACCTTTATAAAAGAAAATTCTTATTTTCTTCCCATGTAGATTGCAAACTCTGCTCATTATATCTCATGCTTTACAATACCAGAAAAATTAAAATTAGTAATTTGTTTTTAATTACAAGTTTAAAACGTCCACAAGGATTTCTTTTTAAAATAATGGAAAATATTGAGATGCTTATGGAATCCAGCGATCCTAAGGGTTTATGTGAAAGACAAGGGAGAGGCATCTCTTAGAAAAGAATTTTTTAGGTGTGCTATTATCAACTGAGTGTGAACCCACTGTAAGCCAGATAGGATATAGCTTTGTGGCTCCCTGTAAGAACAGAACTATTCCTTTATTGTGAAAATAAATGTGTTGTGATCATATACAATCTCAAACTTTTTAATGTACTCTTGAGAAGCAACAGCCAGTTACTTGATTCCCTTAAAAAAGTGGATGGGGGGGTGAAAAAAGCATGACTTAAAATCATAGGAAATAAGCAATCCTGGGAAGGCGCAACCATACTTTCTCTTAAGTCCTTGTGCCTCCCTTTTTAGTTATTAGCAACCTATTCCACGATGCACCTAGGGCAGAACCCCTACTCTAATTCTAGCCTTCTCGCTTATTGCTGCCTGGTTCCTGAGAATGAAATTAATGTCAAATAGACTTAGATCACTCTCTGGAAGAGCTCCTTTTGAAGTGAATGTTATTAACTTTAGTTTTACAGAAAAGAAAAACAAAAATGGTTCATAATATAATCACCCAGACAAGCCTGTTAGCATTTTTTTTTAAATAGGCAGTACAAGTATAAAGTTAGAAAATGCAAAATGCAATAAAGTATAAAATGAAACGTTTAAATGCTTCCCCCAGTCACCTATCCATCCAGTCCAAGGATTGTTGCTGTTATTATAAATCACCATAATTTTGTGATTTCCAGAGCAGTAAAAATGATATTCCTATATTCTAAGGCAGAAGCTCTTACTTGGAGTCCATGAACCCATAGGTGGTCACAAATGGGCTTTAGAGTTGGTCACAAATGGGCTTTAGAGTTTGTGAAACCCATTAAATTATACCTGAAAGCTGTGCATATGTGCTCTTGTGCACACATCCATTTTTCTAAAGAGAAGTTTCATCATTTTCTTTGGATTTTCAAAGAGGCCTCACTACCCTCAAGGAATCGTTATGGTAAAGTATTAGTGAATCATTGTATTATCTCTGAAAGGGAAAGTAACTACAGGAGGTAGCAGGTCATAGTCTGTATCTTTGACATTAAGATACAGGGTTAGATCCTAGCTTTCCACTTCCTAAATGTGTGAATTTGGGTGACTGACTTCTCTGAGCTGGTTTCCTCATGGGCAAAATATAACTCATACCTAACAGGTTTCTTATTAGTATAAAAGGAAATATGTATGTAAAGTGCCTAGCACACAGAAGTATTCAATAAATGTTAATGATCAGTCCCTTACCCTCCTCCTTCCCATTATTAAAATTGCATTCATCAGAAAAGAGGACTTTTAAAAACCTAAGACTTTTGAGGTTCTTTAATGGTATGGCTATCAAAACACTATGGCAAGTGATGAAGGAAAGATATTTTGATCAGTGTGATATTTGACTAGTTTTTCTCCTATTTCTGATTCTTCTCAACCATTCCTTACTCCTGAGGCAGAAACTGAAAGCTTGTGATGAGCCACCAGAAGAGGTCTGTACCTGCTCTCAATTAGGGAATTTATTATCCTAGCATCTGGGAAGTGCTTTGATCAATCCTCTTGGATTTATGGGTATCGATGGAGAACTGAATACCTTGATGGAGAATGGCACCCTGTCCAGGAAAAGAGGCCTCTGAGCTCAGATGGATCAACTAAAAAGCCTGTGTGCAGACTATAGGCAACATGCCTATATGCCTTTGGCCAATAAAGCCATTTAAGAGAGAACAGTGAAAAGACTTTGTGCAGGCATACTTGTGAGAAACTAAGGCAGAATCCCATGTGGCTGGGTTGGTTGTGGGCCTAACATGACCAAGGCTTTGGCTGGAATAGCATTTACTGCATTAAGGAATTAAGGTTGACTTTATAAGGCCAATAAAAAAGCCCTTTGGAAAACTGGCCAGATACCCATCAGTAACCTTTCCTGATCTGTGGTAAGTAATGAAGGTCACTTGCTGATGGGTCTGGGAATGGAAATATGCTCAGAAACCTCAAGAGAAGAGGAATTTACCCAATGCATACAGGTATCTAATGGCACAGATGAAACATGGGCTTGTGAAAGGCTTTTGAGAAGTCCAGCCTGAAAATTCCTTATAAAAGGTTCCAGCAAAACCCCCCTGACTTAAGGCCTACATGGGAGCAGAAATTTGCACACAAATTCCTGTTTGCCCAAGAAGTTTCTTTATGCCTTGCTTATAGATTTGAAGTACCAGCCTCTAAACTACAAGGCCAGCAAGGGTAGGTATTCAATCTACCTTGTTCCTCCATAGCCTCAGGCTTCATTAGATAAGAACAAAGAAAGTAATGACTGACAACGTGTTTTTCTTTAACTTACGTTAAACTCGGTTATGTTGAAAGGGTTATGCTTAAGGGTGTATGTTGGGTGGATTATCAGATTACTACGGAGGAGCTACTTACAGGGCGGGTGGTTACAAGATGTTCAAATGGATTAATGAAGTCATTGATGTATAGTGCCCATGTGCAGAGGGATTGTAATGAATATGAATGAGGTCACTGCTGTATAATAGGTATGCACAAGATTTACTATATAAACCAACAGTAAATAAAGTTCACCATTTTGCCTGAGCGAGCAGATGGTCACCTTTATTTAAAGTACAATTTCAATAAGCTTGCTTATTCTCTGCAACATTGCTTTTCCGCAAGACCCTTATGGCAACAGTAGACCTCCACTATGACTGTTGTGGAACTGTGGGAAGCCTTAGGGCCATAAATATCTCTGGAGATGAGGGCCTCTCTGGAGACACAGGTATATCTGAAGCCACAGGAATTTCTGGAGACATGGGCATGAAACTTGGGTATCTCTGGGGCCAGAGACATCTCTGAGGTCACCGGTATTTTTAGAAACATGGGTATTTCTAAGGCCAAGTGCTTCTCTGGAGACATGGGCACCTCTGAGGCCAGAGGTTTCTCTAGGTGCTTGACCATCACTGAGGATGCAGCTATCTTCAAGGTGTACACCAAAGAGGCAGGCTGCTCCAAGCAACAATGAGTTAGTTACTCTGCTTCCATACTAGATGCACCTAAAACAAAATGGTCTTGTCCCAAAGAGGGCTATGCTGTTTTTTAGTTGGTATAAATGGGTGAAGTTAGGCATACCTCCCTGTACATAAGAGTCTGGAAGGGGGTTTTAGGGCCTAAGCAACTAGTATTTGCATGTTAAGCAAACCAGAACGTAGGCAAGAGAAAGAATATGTTATTGTTCTAAAACAGGGTTTAATTTTATAAACATTGCCTCAGCTGGGATGCTTATTAATTTGGTTCTGTTTTATTTATTTATTTATTTATTTATTTATTGCAGTTTTTGGCCAGGGTTGTGTTTGAACCCACCACCTCCAGCATATGGGGTCAATGCCCTACCCCTCTGAGCCACAGGCGCTGCCTTTTTTTTTTTTTTATTTATCAGCCTCCCCTATTTTTCCATCCTCACTACTGTAGCATGAATGTGAAGTGGAAATGCTGACCAAATGAACAATTAAGACCCTACTGAGGGGATGGAGAGATGGTATGTAGTAGATAACTGTGAATTACAGAAAAAAAGAAAATTTTACTTTTAGGTATGCTTAGTTATGGGATGTTAGCTAACATTATTGCCAATAGAGACCAACATTTGCCTGAGAAATAAAATGATTCTTAATTGTTAGCATGGGTGTTTGGTTGTGTTGAATTTATAAGGAAAGTTGTTTTTGTTTTTGTTTTTGTTTTTGTTTTTCTTAAGCTATAATACTTGCTTTCCCCAGCCAGGTCTTGTTATAACACTCAGACAGTCTCCCTTTTCGTGGATAGCCTATGAGTAAATATGAATCCACTAAGGTCTAAAATTCCAAGTTAGTGGGGTTTGAATTAATAACATTAATTCAAATTAGCAGCATTCTTAGCTTCAGTTCAGGAAGCAACTGAAAATCTCATCGTCTCAGACCCTGGCTGAGACATGGTCTGCATGCCCGTCTAGGTTTTTTTTTTTTTTTTTTTTTTAAGTAGGCCTCTTTTAGGTCTTTTTATGAAGACCAATGGTTTTGTTTATCAAGAAATCACAAGAAGTTGTGTATTTTTAGACACTACTTTTAAAGTCTAGTAGGTTTGTAACCTTATACTAATACACAATTTTGACAAAAGTCCATTCTTAAAGCAGATACAGATACTCATAGGGGAAAAAATGTGTTGTTTAAACACCAGAAAATCCCCTTTAAGTTGATACATTTGCTATTTTTCATCTTTCCTATGGAAGATTCAGTCATGGGCTTGTTACTTCCACATGCTAGGGGTAGAGTAGACCTTGGGCAATTTGGGTCATCCTGTGCAATAGAATTTCCAGAATTCCTAATGCCAGCAGAATCTGGGTCTTCACCCAAATGTTTGTTTTAAATGATCCATGTCTGGTTGAAGCTCAAAAATTAGATAGCTTAAAAAGCCATGTCTTTTGACTATCAGACCTAATCATAAGCACAAGAATATGTAAAGGATCACTTCATTAAGTGCTTTTCTCTGGAGGAAATAGATGCCTTTTAATTTAAGCACAGAAGAAGAAAGCCAGGATAGCTCCTTGATTTTCTTGCCCCTAGCTAAACTATGGACCCCAAACAACATTCCTATTGAGAGAAAGAATTTTAAATCATTTTAGTTGTCTTTTTTTACGTGTAAATTGGAGATAATTTTCTATTTACCCCCTATTGATAGCTGTATTAATTTTTTTGTTTTTAAAGAAGTTTTTAATTCATTGGATATTTTCCACTCATAAATTTGGGCCAGTTTTTTACTTACCTGTTCTTGATAGCTGCCTCAATCCTGTAATAGTAAAGCATCAGATGATTTCCTATTGTATCTTCTCTTACCCCCCTCTGTCCATACTTTGATCCTTTCCTTGTATCACCTGAGTCATCAGATGTTGGCAGTAGTCATGATACTTCTTTTGGAAAAAAATTGAAGTTTGTGCACATCATTTTTATCTGGAGACTACATCCACCCCTGGCTTTGTGAAAGAAATTATCAAAAAGGATAATGGTACCAATCTGCCACAGGTGAGCCTGTTGCAGGAAGATGAGGCCTAATGGAGAGAAAGAGCACCCAAACACCATGTTTATAAGAGGAAGGGCTTTATTTACCAGCCAGCTCAGAGCTTACAGAATAGAAGAATTCCAAATGGCCATGTTCCCTGACTGGCTTTGTCTTTCCCTTTTTATTGACAGTCAAAAAGTTCCAACACACAGTTACCCTTCGCATTGGCCAGTTTGAATGAAGCAGGAGATGCTATTCCAGCCCCTATAGAACTACAGGATTTCACATTTATAAATTCCCAAGAGCTGAGTCACCATGGAGTGGACCCCACAGGTGTAGACTTGTGGTCTTCTTGAGAAGACCTGCTCTCTTAGACCTCATTCTTCTCAGGTATCCTCTCTCAAGCCTATTCTGGATCCTGCTTTTATACCCATGGCTTTTTTCTATATCTTAATCTGTATTTTCCAGTCCATTTAATGAGTATGCTATTCCAGATACAGTATTTTGAGTGTTTTTTTTTTTTTTTCGGGTGAGGAAAGTAAAAAGGAAAATGGCAAGATAGCAGTTTTTGAAAATTCTATAAACTAGTTTAATAGTCTCAGATTTGGCTGGGCACAGTGGCTCACACCTGTAATCCTAGAACTCTAGTAGGCTGAGGCAGGTGAATTGCATGAACTCAAGAGTTTGAAACTAGCCTAAGCAAGAGCAAGACCCTGATTCTACTAAAAATAGAAAAAAAAATAGCATGGCATCATGGTGCCTATAGCACCAGCTTACTGGGGAGGCTGACCCAAGAGGATCACTTGAGACCAAGAGTTTGTGGTTGCTATTGATTGACTGATGATGATGCCACAGCACCCTACCCCGTATGACTAAGTGAGACTCTCTCAAAAAAAGAGAGAGTCTCATCAGGTTTATTTCTAAAGACTTGTACAAGGACATAGTACCCAAAATAAAATTATTCAATGGCGAAAAGGAGATCTTTTTGATATAATTCTAAACTGAGTGGTGGTAAACAATAGCCTTGATATTTCTGAAAACAAAAACAAAAATTTTTAAAGGACTATCTTATTTCATCTAAAGCCATGGAATTGATTTCATCCTCAAGTTGTATGAGGTCAATTTATTTGGTCTTTGATTTTTTATTCCCCAATATGTCCCATTATTACTTGGGTATAACATACATAGAACTAAGGACAACCTTCTGAAAACCCCTATATATTCTCAACACCAAAAACTGTCTTGTTTTATGGTTAGATTTAAAAATTTGAGAGATGAAAAGTGTGGGATCCAAATATTTATGCACTGGTAAAAGCCTGGTAATGGACAGGAGACTCCTGAAGGAAAGTTGTCAGCAATACTAAAAAGTTGATCTATAAATGACATTCATTTAATACTCTTATGCAGCACCTATGCTGTAAAAGAAATGTTTAAGAAATGTGACCCCTTCCCCTACTGGCTTAGCCATCAATTTTCCCCAAGCAGAAATTCCTTTCTCACGTGAGGGCTCTACTTAAATAAGAATGTGTTTTACAACCTTCCACATGGTCTTATCTACAAACTTGACCTCTTCCTGTTTTCTACATAAGTTTCTTGGGCTTGGGGTTGCTGTTTATCTTTTCTAAGGATGAGGCAGGCTCTGTTCCTTTGTTTCTGGCCATGCTCAGATTTTGCATGGACACCTTTTAAAAAAATCATTAATTATTTACTTAGTTGATAGAATGACATAGATACATGTATATATTATTATATACATATATAGGAAAAATATAAATATATTCATATATAATACATAATATATATACGCACTATATATATGTGTGTGTATACACACACACACACACACACACATACATATAATGTGAAGAGCTGGTCAGGCTGTCAGGTGACACCAAGAAGACAAAGGGTAACAGGAAAGATTTGAGGACATAAAGGACTCTTATTTTCTTGTCTTTTTAAAGGCAGTTCTGTTTTCAAAGCATTTGATGCTTTTCCAAAGGGGAAAAAAACTTACTTTTCAAGCCCATCATGTCTTCTCTGATCCCCTCGCAGTGGGACTGATAGTCCCTTTCCCTTAAATAGGAAGTATTGGTATTATCATCAATTGTGGCAGCCCATGTCTCCTTTAGATATAAGTGCAAATAAAAACATGTTGCATGCTCTGAGATTTGTGACTTTTCTTCACAAAAGACCAGTGTGCTTTGAAAGTAGCTGTCTAATTTAGACCCATGTGTCTTGTAAGAGCTGAACAAAAATGTGTTCGGAAGTTGTGTGAAACCAATGGCTTCCACATTAAGTCTGGTGCCCTGTCCCTTAGTGTTTTCTGAAACTTTGGGGATGACCTAAAAACTTGTTTCTCCTCAAAAGCTTTATTTTCTTTCAACCATTTTCATAACTTTGTATTCCTAACTCTGTAGAAGGCCTTAATACCAACCTCATAGAATTCCGGTTGTAGATAAAGTAGTTGGGAGGGCAGCAGGGAAAAGAGAATAATACAGAAATATACCTGGCCAGTTAAACAAAGGAGTTTATACCCATCTGTAATGATCAGCATTCATTATTTAAGATTTCATGTGATCCTTGAGATTAAATTATTCACAATAAAGTCCAGAAAAGATCTTTTCCAGGTAGTACTGTGACTAATGTATTTTTCTTTTAAGGCTGTCTTTTACATTGTTAGAGACGCTTAAGAATGCTATGAGTCATGTGCTTTCTTTGTCAACACTTTTCTCTGCTTGAGCATGTGGTCCTCGATTTTTTCTTTTGTAGAGTTAAGGTGATAGCTGATATTCTCTCCCTTTAATATGTCCCTAAGGCAGATGAGTCCTGAGTTCCTTTTTGCTTCTTCAGCTGAAGCATCATTGGGTCCCTCACCAGTCAGGTGACAATATATACACCAAAGTTACTAGATGATTACTGTTCAAAGACTCATGTTCTCAGGTCCCAGCTCATATGCAACTGGCCACACCAGTTCATGTTAAGTATCTCCAGGTTTTC